TTACTCCATCTAGTTCTTCCTGAACAGCTTTCTGAAAGTACCCTAAGTCATCACAGTGGAATGTGCAAGCTACTCTAAGATCATTTGCAAAGATGAATGGTTTACCAAGCGAGAAACAGCTGCATATGTCGTTGACATGTAGAGTGAATAGGAGGGGGCCTAAGACACTACCTTGAACTACTCTAGAAGTGACTGGACTAGGTTTAGAGTTTACAGACCGCAGTCTAATCACTTGGGACCTATTGTTAGGGAATGATTCAAGCCATCCTAATAATGGGTTACGTATTCCTAAGGAGTTCAGCTTATTTATTAGAAGCAAATGGTCAACGCGGTTGAAGGCTTTGGAGATGTCGAAGTAGATGACTAGTACTAGTTGTTTTTTGTCGCGGCTACTGGTTATATAGTTAAAGAAGCCAAGGTGACAGGTCATGCATGATCTGGAATTTAGGAATCCATGTTGGTTGGGACTTAGAATATTGCAGTTGAGCATATGTTTGAGAATATCATCTTTAACTATTCGTTCAATGATTCTAGATGCTATGGGTGTAATATTGATTGGTCTATAGTTGTTGACTTCAGTTTTTGATCCGGATTTGTGTTTGGGTACTATAAATGTGGTTTTCCATTTATCTGGATAGGTTTGGCTTTCTAGGGACATTGTAAAAATCTTAAGTAATAAAACGGAAACGTTAGAACCACCGTGTTTATAAAGATACGATGGTATACCGTCAAAACCGGCACTACTAGAGCTTTTAAGAGTATTAACGGCTTGGTTAATATTAGAATAAGTGAAATGAAATGCACTGATTTGTTTCAGCGTTGAAGAAGAAGGGAGTTCTACTGTAGATTGTAAACCGAGAAGTGGACTTGTGGGCTTAAGGTAGTTAGCTGCAAATGTCTCATTAAACAGTTCATATGCTTTAGGTGGCAAAGGCGCCGAGTCCTCGAACTATATAGAACTGTGCTATGAGAACTTACTTGATATTAGTGTTGGAAATCCGGATCTTTTTCTCATGTTTTGAGCAGAAGTTTTACACACTGATGGTCTGTCTTGCCCTTTCGTTCCTTTACCTGACAACTAAGAGTTATGGTCTCTTACGAATTTCTCCCGTTTATAGTGATTGATGCTTGTTGTTCTTACTGTTAATACTAGGATACCTTTATCAGTTCTGTCTTCCCCATGTTCATATGCAGCCCTATCTTCGCTATTTCTTCTGCTAACTTGTGCAAACTTGCAGATGCAGATAGTTCACTACTTAAGCACGATTTATGCAGAAGATATTTTGTCACGCTCTACAGTAATATAGCCTACATACTCGATATCCAAATCTACTTGATCCATACGATGCATCTTTACTGCTACCACACCTATCCTTCAGAGCTGTCCTCATTTTGCTGCCGATGAGAATATCAGTGAGAAATGATTGGATTGTACAACCTCACATAAACGTACTGTTTGTTGATAGTAGTGATGATAACCTGTTGTGTCCCTTCACTTCACGTAAGGTATATTCATGAATTGCTTTCAGGACGTTAACAAAATCCATGAAAACATTTCTTTCTAACAGACAACGGTAGCGACATTTTCCCTAAGGAGGATGACATCTCCAATACTAAAAGATACCACGGTTTCCTGGCGGTATTTTGTGGAGTGGTGTTCTAATTATTGATGTAGGGTGGACGCATCCACAGCCACCCAGCGTGCTTCTCGCGAATAAATTAATCTTGAACTCATCAGCACCTGTGGAAGAAGGCACCCAGTATTTTAGACGCAGTTGTTAACAGACTAGCTATGATTGTTACGTACGTCATGTATGCTTGCAGTCATTTGAGCCCCAGTTATTTCACTTTCGACGATTGATTCACTTGCTCCCATTGACGATGTCTTGGGAGGAATGAAATTTCAAAGGATCACTGACTTGTACTAAATAAAACCAGTTAATTAAGCTTCTCGAACGACCTTGAACTTGTTGCCGGTTAGCATGGCAAACATTGTATGGGGATTTGAAGCAGCCAGGGGCTGATTCAGAATGAATGACTTGGGGCTCACCAGTCATAGAAAACCAGATAGTAGGGCTGCCTGAAGAGATTTGAGCTTACTTTCTGTTGGTTTCAACTGGAAACAACGTTATTATTGCTATATGATTATCTTTCCTCCTAAACTGTGCTTTAACAACACTACCTGCCGAGGCGACTCTAAGCTATAGCGGCCCAAAACGAAACTGGTTAACAAAGACCTTGAAAAATGTTTATCGACCAAGGAGTTGCGTCTGAAGTAGAGGCGTGTAATCTGAAAATGACGTTTACGCATAAGTAATGCAACGTTAAAAATTAGTTACATAGGATACCTTTTGTGCATATGTTCTGGTAAAAGCTTCCAATTTCTCACACCAGTCCTCATAGTTAGGTTAAACCAATTCTTGTGAGCACTTCGAAAAGGAGAGTGGCATTTTTACGTTTTGAAGTACCTTCTGCTTTTGCTGAGTAAATCGCATCAGAAGCTTCTTGGTTTGTTTTAACTGGTTTAATTAGTTGGAGTATTGTTTTTTGCGCACTCTGTGACTTTTTGTGTGGTTTTTATATCTCTACTACTTTATTGGCCATGTGTTTTGTAGTGAACATCTCAGGATAGCTACTTTCGATTAACACGTCGTGTACAGACTTAAGATCGTCTTCAGTCACATGTTCTGACAAACAGCTCCAACTTTATGGCTAAGGGTCTTTACTATGGAGGGACACCACAAATATTCAGCCTACTTCACGAATCTAGTGTAACTGTTTCCATTATCCCTGTGCCATCAGTCTCGTCCTGTTTTATTGGCTCTATCTTCTCTTTCCGTTTTTTCTCATTGTTTTCTTTGTCCTGAGAAAGGTCCTTTTGCCCCAAGTTCCATTTTTTTCTCCCTCCTAATTCCTCCTCTTAGCTAAGTGTTCTCCAAAGTGCATATCTAATCAACTGGAGAGCTACTCAGATTAACAAAGTTGGAAAGGCCCAGCGTTATCGCCGCTCCAGTATAAACCAGGTTTTCCCTTCGACATATTACCTTACGAATCTGCTTCAAACGTCCAGTGGAGCTGCAACAGTCAGGGAAATAGAATGTGACGGAATACCTTAAGAAATCAGGGGACACATAAGATACGACAAAAATATTCTCGACATTAGTTATGGCTTGAGTAGCAGTATTCGCTACGCGAAAGAAGATCTCTCACATTTCGTGAATCAATCAAGATAAGAAAACACGGTATATGTGGAAACCATTTTCGTGAAACCAGTATAGACACAATCTAATATATGTTCCGCTTACATGCAACATCCAAAAATCAGCGACATTGAAATAGACATGCAAAGCGATAAAGTGAAGAGGACAGATCAGCTGAAAGGCAGGGGAAAGGAGATACCAACAAAAAGAAGCGTCTACCCTTGTGTGGTAACGAAAGAGAAAGAGAATGCAAAATTCTGCACTGCGGAATAAAATGCAAGGGACAGGATACAGACACCATCACAGTTTATTGCACTCCCAATTGTGCAGCAGACGGCTTTCTAATAGTGGAATAAGGCTCATGGCCAGGAAGAAGTCGTAGCCTCATAGTGACTGACTTTAGCGTGCTGTCAGATGATAGAATGGGCAAAGGAATGCCACCGTCAATACTTCCGATACTGACGAATGGTAGAAATCCGCTAAATGATACATCTGAAGCACGCATATATATCACACAAATAAGTATGACTATGCGTCACAGAATATTTCAATGTTTTTGAGAAGTCGAATTCCATATAGACTGGGAGTAACTAGATACTGAGCGTGAACAAGCTATGGTATTTATTTGAACCGTTCGACTCCTGGACAATACAATGTGGTGGTGCACTACAAGGTACTGTACCTGACCAACTATTATTTATCCTATATATTAACGCATTGCAAGGGCTTATCAAACTCTCATGGTTCTCTAAGTAGATGACCTGGAGTTCTAAGGTACCATGAGGATGCAACTGACGTGCTTACATCATAAAAAGATCTCAACAAGCTTCTAAATTAGTCCAAAGGTTGGATGGTCCCAGTCAAATTAGCGAATTGCTCAACAATGGTGTATAATTTTATTTATTTATTTTGATTTACAGCTTGATTCCACACCGTATTTTCAGTACAGATATGGAATTTTCAGCATGGATATCGGTAGCCCAAATTCAGGCTGACCATAGATATCGGGTGTGCGCCGGCAGGGGGTCGAACCCCGGACCATGTGCATGGTCGGCGAGAGTCCTAACCACTATGCTACCGACGCACATACTATGTAGACAGAACAGCACTCCCACCAGTTTGGACTCACTTGAAACTACATGTCATAGCGAGTCATGTGCTATAATTTATAAGACTGTCACCTGGTGGAAGCACTGGAGTTTAATATCCAATGAGTTGTACACATAGCCTTTGCACGAATCACTAGTGAAATGTCCACAAATCCATAAACCCGTCTGGTGACAGAAGAACTAGAAAACTAATTTCAGATAGTCAGGCATCGCGTTAAGGAGGACACATATATTCTGGGAAGGGACCGAAGGAAGACCACATGTACGATTCTTGGTATAATCAGTCTGTCAATAGAAGAAAGACTTAACGGTTTAAGTCTCTGCATTTCATCACAACTTGGGCAGACAGGTGACTTTAGAACAGATCTATCCTCTTCCTTTTTTTCTAAAAAGTTGGAACATTTAGGAAGAAAAAGCAGGAAAGTTGGAAAGCCGATGATCTCTGTGCAGTAGTGGTTTCCCCGTTTAGTCGATAACTCTTATTCCCAAAACCCAAAAGTAGTGTTTACTTCCTTCATCGACTCGTTCAGTAGGCTGTTGAAAAAGCACAGACGCTTGTTCGAAATTCATGAATACGGGCTGAAAATGTATCTTCTTCAAGAGACAATCTAAATCCTAAATTTGTTTTATCGGACTAAACCCTAACGAAATCATGTTTCGATAACGCCAGGGCATTTAACTTTTTCGAAAGATGGTGACCGCACACACGGTCATTAAATACGTGTTTGTAACTCTACTTTGTGTTTTAAACTCGACTATCACTTCTGCAACAAACTTTAATTCCCAGGGTCAGCTGGTAGGCTTCCTACAGCGTATGTTTCTGTTTTTCTTAGTTTGATGTTTTACGTCAGGACAGGGATATATAAAGTCCAAGGCCGTTATAAATGTGATGCTTGACGTTGATCGTAAAATCTTTTGTCAGACTCGGCCATACGAAAATCAACCACAGACAATCGCAGAAGGTGTTAAGATCAGCGCGCCAATGGTAGTAAGTTCGATGATTAATGAATATTTAAATACTCCACTCACTACTATATTAAATCAGAAATTTCCAGTTAATTTAGATCGGCTGAAGAGTGGAAGCAGAGGAAGTGTGTGGTTTAATACCAGATCATGTAACTCCTCTAGGTACTGCACGATTATAAGATTGCTTTCTAATTAGAATTAAGACTTGAGTTAAAAAAGAGGAGCTGACCAAACTTCCTGCAATCCGAATTTTGATGTCCATAAACTGGGTACAAGTTTTAATTCAGGCAATGCTCGACGTAAAATCATAGCTCCATTTAACTCTGGACAAACTATTGGTTTGATAATAGGTAATTATCTTGATCATTCATATGTTTTCCGACGCTTAGCCACACAAAATGTATTACACACGTTTATCTGCTCGTTTTAAGTTTATTTCAAATTAGAAAGAAACTTTTGGTTATTTGGTTTACCGACAAATTAAAGCATTGAGTTGTACAAATCACCTTATCAGCAGGATCTTTCAATAGTACTTCCCTCACCTAGTTACATATATCATATGACATTCTAAAGACCTGACCAAGTAGTGAAAATGAAGGCGTGAGATATAAGTGAAACAAAGGGAAGAATTGGTTTTTTATTTATACGGTAATTGATATCGCTTACATACCACTATAGTTTGAGATGTCTTACACCATTGGCGTTATTTCTCAGAATCAAAATATTATGTATTAGATATAATGAACTAGAGAGAAGCTTTATTATTCATCAGTATTCATAAGAAACGCATAAATGTGACGGACTGTTAACACGGTGACGCGTTATGGCTATATCACTCTGATTCATCTGAATTTCATATGATGAGCTACTAATCAGTCTTGATGAAGTTTGTTTGACTCGGCTGCCTACCATGTATCCCTGAATCTTCTGATCTTTGTGTAGTATATTGGTAGTTCCATTGCTCAGATACATTAAATTAGCCTCCAACTGGGAGTATGGCTGTTTAGTAGTGTGCTATGTATGATTGGCAGTATATTTGAATGGAGTAAAGAGATAGAGTTATTCAGCGAAAAGATTGTAGAACGCATTTAGTGGTATGGTTTAACTACGGACCCACAGTTTATGTGTGTTAATAGCACAAGGGAGTGGCACAAAAATGTCCCTTGAGCCCATCTGGATGTGTTCTCATTTGTAACAAAACTACAAAAGCTTATTGCCGTACATAATTTGAAACATATCTCATCTCCTAATATATACATATATATATATTATATATATATATATATAAATGTAGTACCTAATTTTTCACCATGTTTTGGTGGTTGAAATTCACTCTACACAATTTTATACATTTTATGCGATACAGCACGGAATGGTTTTGGAAGCATTAACACCACGTCTCGAAGAAGGCACAAGAGTATTATGTGTTGGTTGTAGCAGTGGATACCTCATAGCATGTTTATCTCTTTACTTAGTAAGTTACGAATGGTCTTATCAAACAAATGAAGTATTTACTTAGGTTTATTTTCATTTTTTTGGCATTCTGAACGTAACATAGGGGGCTTGAGGCTTGAATTTATTTATAAGGTTTCAGTATTTGTGATGTTTTCATGGGATAGGGTTGCCCAGATTTAATACGAGATAATAACCATGCTGAATTTAAGAGTGTGTTAGAGTCGGGGATGAGAAACTTCGGACCAGGTGCGTAGTTGGCGAGCATTCTACCAGTGAACCATTGATGTGCCGTTTTGCACAATAAAACAATGCGACTAAAATCTATTCATTTTTTAACAATTAGTTCACATCCTTTCTAACCCAAACATATATTCTCTTGACTTGTAAGGGACTGTCTAGAGCCAGTTCATTAACATAACAAATATGCGAATAAAAATCCAAGTCAATGAGAGGACAATGCAACAATATATTATCAAAATGCAGTAATGAGTTATATTAATTAATAGGTTACTTGAATGTGTTGTTAAAGTCTACTGCTACAAATTATTTATATAATCCACAGAAGCATTGACTGTTGGAATCGTGTCTACTGATAGAAGCTGTGCTCCGGTTGTAGATTTGTCTTCGGATTAGGATGATAGGTTCCTGTAATAAATCCAAAGCATACAACATGGTTTCAGTTGGGTGAGTGGACAGAAATGCCCAGAGAGAAGGCAAAGCTACCAGCAGTATAGTGTATTTCAAATTGTACTCGGAAGTTATATGTACTTAAACATAAATCTTTTTAAACAAGAGTCATGTACAATGTTTCTAATTTCAACATCTAAACAAAAAGTGTACTCCACACGGCTCCCCCCTTAGAGGTCCGGAGAGACCACCGGAGTCCGTCACTGTTAGTGAAGTTAATAATAATAACCATTTGTAAGATAAAAAAAATAAGCGTACGTAATAACATCTATGTAAGGAAAAAAATGTATCTGAACCGTGTAAAGTTTGAACGCATTTATAGATAGTTCAACAACAAAAATTGAAATAGAATTTCATGTCAATTAAATGAGGTCAGTTTCTTGTTGCACAAATCATAAACAAAGATATTTATGTATACAGTCATTAAAGGGGGGAAAGAAAAAAAATGGATTGAAAATGAATCGTTTTTGAAAAAACGCGATACTTGTTTAGTAGATGAGATACATATAAATAAATAAATAATAGTGATAATTAGCTTTTATAGTAACAGTGAAATCAAGGTGTACGAAGAGATAGTAATAGTCATGATAATAATGTCTAAACATTTAAAAAAAATGTAATTTTTTATTTTTATCAGTCCACAAAATGAACGTAGCGAGCCGGCTTACTGATTTGTCGACCACTACGTGTTTGATATGGAGGGTGCAGAAGACTTGGTGCCGTTGGAGTGGAATCAAATGTGTGATTATTTGGTTGTACAGTTGTCGATGTAGCTTCAAAGTCGCTGTCTGTGTAGGCTGGTTTGATTCGATCAATAAAAATAGTCTCCTGTTTTCCATTTTTGTTCACTGTAAAGTTTTTGTCTGAACGTTTAATAACTTGGAAGGGACCTTTGTATGAGGGTTTCGATCCTTTTCTGATAGGGTCGACTCGAACAAAGACGAATTTGAAAGTTTGTTGATCTGATATCGTCGGGGAGATTGTCGACGTGCTGTTGGTTGAAGTTGGAGCATTTGTGTAGTTAGTCAGTTGGTGAAGTCAGCAATGTTCACGTCCGTCGAATCGGCTGAGGAAACTAGCTGTCCAGGCAAGGTTAGGTTGGTGCCATATACGAGTTGAGCCGGTGAACATCCTAAATCTTCTTTGATAGTAGACCGGATACCGAGTAAAATCAGAGGTAAGTATTCACTCCACTTAGATATATCATTCTGTGCCGTCATGGAAATTTTCGGCTGTCTGTGGAATCTTTCCACAAGACCATTTGCTGCCGGATGGTAGGCTGTTGTGGAGATATGTTTCACTCCCAGGAATCTCGTCAGTTCATGAAACAGCGTCGATTGGAATTGAGCACCTCGATCGGATGTAATAGTAGTTGGTACACCGTAATTTGACACCCAACGGTCGTGGAAAACCGAAGCAACATTTTCGGCAGATATATCTTTCAGGGAGCATGCAATAGCCCAACGAGTAAATCTATCAATGGCTGTCAGGATATGTGTATATCCTCTTGACGTTGGCAATGGTCCTACAATATCTGTATGAACGTGCGGAAATCTCCTGTCCGGTAAATCAAACGTTTTCGGTGTTGTGACAGTGTGGTTCTGTACTTTGGAGCATTGGCATTGGAGACATTCTTGTGCTCATCTCCGAATGTCAGAGTTCATTTTAGGCCACACGAAACGTTCGCTGATGAGTCTGACGGTGGCACATACTCCAGGGTGAGAGAGCGAATGTAAGTGGTCGAATAGCGCTCTTCGGCATCTGAGAGGAACAAACGGACGATTAGTGCCGGTAGATACATCGCAAACTATAGTTGCATCTGATAAGGGAATAGGTACGTCCCTGAGCTGTAAGGAAGAGTTTCCGCGACAATTTCGAAGTTCTGCGTCGTCTCTTTGTAACTGAGCCATACGGTCAAGACTGACGTTTACTGAAGTTTCAAGCTGGTTTATATCACCTCTTGAAAGAGAATCAGCTACCACTTTTGCGTCCCCTTTGATGTACTGTATGTCAGTTGAAAATTGGGAGATACAGTCTAACTATCTGGCTTCTCGTGAGGAGTGTTTATCCAGCGAAGTAGCGAAAGCCTAGCACAGAGGTTTGTGGTCAGCAAAAATAGTGAAATGCCGACCCTGTAGTAGGTAACTGAAATGCTTGATTGCTAGGTATATAGCCAACAATTCTCTCCCAAAAGTACTGTAACGTGTCTGAGCCGGTTCTAACTTCTTCTGACTCCAAATCAGAAGGCTGCGTGTTCGTATCACGTCGGGCTCACCAACAATATGAGTATAATACGTGATTGATGTTTGTTTTATGGGTTATGTTCTAGTGTTTTGTATTCTTTCTTCTTCATTTGTTTGAAGGATAGAGACACTGGTTCTGTTACAGGAGTTGAAAGCAAACAAGAAGTGACTAATCTGAATAAAAAAAATATACGAGAATGGATTTATACTAGCGAAATATTGCGAAGCCTTCGTATAAGAACAGAAACTCATTTCCATTACCTAACTTACAAAAATAAACTCGATGAGGTGCTTGAAGGAGAGTTTTATGTAATTTATTACAATGGAGCCGACAGAAGCTTTATTGATGTAGTAAGTTAATGGGCATTTTGAACAGGCAAAAGTTTTCAGTATTCGGAAATTATCTCCACTCATTATGTATTCATTTAGATACTTAAAAAGTTTAACTTTTCGACAATGAGATTTTTTTAGCAATAATTATCAAAACAAGAAGCCCAGAAAGATTTTATAAAACCCTGTTATAGTAATGTGGACAAATAAGAATGATAACCAAGGAAGCTTTGTATGCTTTTTGCAGTGTGTGTGGGTGGTTGTTACTTTCTGACCGTCTACACCATGGAAGTTGCCTTTTTTCCTGGGTTATCTGGAAAAGAAACAGAATTAGTGTTGCTTGACCGTAGAGCCAAGGGGACAACCGGCTTTTAGGTTGGGTTTCGTACTAGCAACTTACCAACGGCTATGGATCACTGTATGGTAAGTCGGAAGGTACTATTTTTGAGGTCAAGCTTTACTAACCCCGTCTCTACATAATGAAGAGACAGCATAGCTGGTATGATGGTTGTCTGAGGGAAACACTTCACTGGTGTTTTATCCTTATTCCCCAGCAGTAGAACTTTGCCCATAGATCCTTAGCATTATTTGTATTATTATTGTTTCCTTTAGTTCCTAGAGGAACATAGGGCTTCAGCTGCGCTTCTCCAATGCGTTCGGTCCTCTGCCAACGTTTTCAGCTGGCTTCACATCTGTCCACATGCTTTCATCTACTCTTCACATGACCTCCTCAATGTCACACTTGCACTGACAACCAAATCGCCGTTTCCCTTTCGGGTTCCACTTGATTGGCTGTCGTGTGATGTCACTTGATGGTTTTCTCAGAGTATGGCCAGTCCACCTCCATTTCTTCCTGCATATTTGTTTCACAATCGGTTCCTGGTTGGTTCGATCCCAGTGATCCCTGTTGCTGATCTTTTCTGGCCGGCCATCTGATCTTGAGTAGTATTGAGCGAAGACAGCTGTTGATGAGGGTCTGTAGTTTGCCCGAAGCGCACTTCGTGACGCGGTGCCAAGTCTCTGATTCATCCGTATAGTAGCACTGACTGACTTCACATCTGAGTTGAAAATCCAGATGTTATTTTTCATGTTGAGTGCTGTTGACCTCCACACAAACTTGAGAGTAATGAAAGCTTGCCTTGCTTTCCCGACTCTCACTTTGATATCCTCTTCAGTTCAGTCGTCCTGTAGTTGAAACGATGCTTCCCAGGTAGGTGAAGGAGGTTGCTACTTTCAGATTTCTCCCATTTATGCTGATTGTTCTCTGTTGTTGTTGCTATTGGCCAGGAATCTTCTTCTGTTTTCTCTATGTTCACCTGAAGTCCTATCCTCTCTGGATGCTTCTTCTACCAACTTGTTGCTTTTCACTTGCATATGTTCCAGTTTGTGGGAAATCAGACATATATCGCATCGGCGAAGTCCAAATCCTCCAAGTTTTTTGTGTGGGTCCATTTTATGCCTGTCTCCTTATTGCCCGCTGTATGTCTGTCACATTATCCAGTCTACCGTAATCAGGAAGATCATTGGAAATAGTACGCAGCCAGCTTGTTTTACTGCCGTCTTCACTTATCATAGTGTAAGAAAAAATCTTACACCCTGTCAGTAACTGCTTTCCGTCTAATGGTTATCCTAATAATATTTCTGGCACAGTAGGACCTGTAGGAATATTAGTTCCAGCCAGTGTAGCTTGTTGGGTCATTGTGATATGCAAGCCCAACTACCACGTCAAGGTAACTGTCGGTCGGGCATATCCCATACAACTCCGTTGTTCTTCCATATCACCCAACTGTTTTTCCCCACACTTCTGTTTATTATTTATCTTTTTTTAACCTCTCTTTACTCTCTTCTATTGCTTTGTGAGCTACATGGAGTGTGACAGCTGGAACTGCTGCAAATCTTTGCAAAGTTCTACGTTTAAACCAGTCAGTCAGTAAATCAGCCGGAATGGTGGCGGTGGCATTTAAAAGAAACACCCATTAAACTTCAGTCATCGTTAATCTTTATCTTCATTTTTTGTAATTCAGTGATACATACTGGTCACGATGAAATATATTTGATGCCATTTTAATATAACCAGTATTTGATGACATCCAACCAACAACTTCCGATCTCACATATCACTTTTAAAAGTTACCTATAATCAAAGACAGAGTGTGTTTGTTTTTCCTTATCCAGTTAAAGAAGTATTGAACTCCTTCAGTTTACCTTAGTCATGAAATAAACGGAAATCTGTTAGTGGCTGATAACTCATTAATTGTGCAAAATGTTATTTTCACACGGCTACATAAGAAAAATATTTCATTGCAGTTTTACAGTTTTATTTTTTTTCCACTAAGACTTTAAGTGGTGGTATGGATGTAATCTTTATTCTACGATTTTGGTAGTTAATATTATGGTGAACCGTGACTAATTAATGTGCCAGTAGCTTGGTATGAAGTGAATTTCTATGGTCCTCGTTAAAGAGTCTTTAGTTTCCATATCAGGCCGCCTATTATTATTATATTATTGCTCCCTCGGGTTCCTAGTGGAACATAGGGCTTCAACTACACGTCTCCACTTGCTTCTGTCTTCTGCTGTACTTTTCACCTGCGTTCATGTTAGTCCATACTGTCTCAACTCTTCTTCACACGATCTCCTCCATGTCACCCTTGCACAGACAACCAACTCGCCGCTTCCCTTTCGGGTTCCACTCGAGCACTGGCCTGACACGCGATGTCACCCAGCGGCCTCCTCAGCGAGTGTCCAATCCATCTCCACTTTCTCCTGCATATTTGTCGAGCGATTGGTTCTTGTTTTGTTCGTTCCCATAGTTTCTTGTTGGTTCTTGTTTTTTCCAGCCATCTGATCTTGAGTATAGAGAGAAGACAGTTGTTGATAAAGGTGTGCAACAGGCTGTTGGAAATATTCTTTGTGACCCGCCAAGTTTCTGATCAATGCGTATAGAAGAAGTGACTGACTTGACGTTTGTATTGAAAATCCGAATCACTTTGTTGTTGATGCTGAGTGACAGCGGAAGATTTCCAGATTGGTTTCAGGTTGATGAATGTGTTTCTCGCCTTGCGGATTCCCGATTTGACATCCTCGTCCGTTCCTCCTATAGTTGAGACAATGCTCCCTAGATAAGTGAATGAAGTGACCTCTTTCAAATCCCTCCCGTTGATGGTGATTGGCGCTGGATGTTGCTGTTGTTGTTGTTGTTGTTGGTTGGTTGGTTATTTCCATAACCTCCGTCTTGTCTATGTTCACCTGGAGTCCTGTCTTCTCTGGCTGCTTCTTCGACCAGTTTGTCGGTTTTCGCTTGTAAGTCTTCGATTTTGTGTGACATCAAACATAAATCATCCACACGCGAAATCCAGGTCTTCTAGGTTCTTCAAGTCAGGCCGCCTAACTTAATATTATTAATAGTCCTTTGGGTTGTGAGTGGAACATAGGGCTTCCACGGGAAAGCTCTATTTTATCGCCTTTAGCTGTGTTCACGATTGCCCGTTTAATCCATACACGATCTTCTACTTACGTTACCCTCGAATACCCTACTAGACGTTTCCTATTCGGGTTCCATTTGAGTGTCTTCATGGTACCTGATGTCACTCAACGGTCATCTCAGTGTGTCCGATCCAACTCCATTTTCTTAGGCATATTTCTTGGGGAATGGATTTGTTCCCAAAGTTTCTTGCTTCTAATGCTTTCCAGCGGGCTGTGTAATCTTCAACATGGAGTGAAGGTATCCCTTTTATGAAAGACTGCAACCTGTTCTAGATTCTTTAGGTGGCGCTTCAAATGTCTACACCATACAGAAGCGCTGATTTGAAAAGTGTTGAAAATCCATATCGTTTTGCTCATAATGAATGCAGCAACTTTACAAGGTGATTTCAGATTAATTAAGATCACTTTTGTTTTTCCAATCCTGACCATCTTTGAAATCGCACAGCGGTTAGGACTCTCGCCGACCATGCACATGGTCCGGGGTTCGGTCTCCTGCCAACGCACACCTGATATCTATGGTTCGCCTGCAAATTTGACTTACCGATATCATATGATGGAAATTCCATACTTCTACCAAAAATACTGTGTGGTTTCAAGCTATAATCAAAATGAAATTATTTTTAAATCACACCAATAATTGAGATACTGTCATCTTGATGAGTGATAGAACTGACCTCCTTCAAATTTCTCCGTTGACAGTGGTTGTTTCTGGGTGTTGTTGGTCAGGTAACTCCATCACGTCACTTTAATTTCTTCCTTCCCTGCTTCTTCTGCCAACTTACTGGTCTTTACCTGCGGATCTTCTATTGTGTATGATTTCAAACATGAAATACTGGCGTAATCCAGATCCTGTAGTCTTATGTTTGTCTTCTCAGTCTCTACAGTCTGCTGCATGATCGCATTTACAACAATCAGGAATGTCCAAGTGTTGGTTTGTAAGGATTTGATTGGTTACAGGATTTTCATCATGAGCTGACATTAGTTAGAGAACCATTGGAAAACCTGAGAGCACTGGACAGCTGTTTCGTCCTAGTTTGGGACTCTTCACGGTACGCACCCACCGGGATTCGAACCCAGGACCTTCTGGTTACAAGGCGAGCTCGTATACCATTAAGCCACTGGGACCCGATCCAATGGCCCATAAATTCTAACTTCTGCCAAATCACGACATAGCGCGACCCCTAGCCAATATCTTCGGCGAGTATTTGCTCTCACACCTGACCTGCTGCACCCTACTGGTCACAACCTCTCACTAGAACCCCAGGTGCTCACTAGCGACTTACCCTTTTCAGGCAGGTAGTTACCTGGGGTTCTAGTAAGAAGTTGTGACCAGTAGGGTGCAGCAGGTCAGGTGTGAGAGCAAATACTCGCCGAAGATATTGGCTAGGGGTCGCGCTATGTCGTGATTTGGCAGAAGTTAGAATTTATGGGCTATTGGATCGGGTCCCAGTGGCTTAATGGTATACGAGCTCGCCTTGTAACCAGAAGGTCCTGGGTTCGAATCCCGGTGGGTGCGTACCGTGAAGAGTCCCAAACTAGGACGAAACAGCTGTCCAGTGCTCTCAGGTTTTCCAATGGTTCTCTAACTAATGTCAGCTCATGATGAAAATCCTGTAATCAGGAATATCATTGGTAGTAGTAAGCAGCCTTGTCTTAATCCTGTCTTAATTGCAAAGGCTTCGTTGAGTACATCTTTTAATTAGACTTCTATTCTATATTTCTCCCACTTCAAGAATAGGTATTCTTCTGGTGAGGTTATTTCAGATAAGCATAAATTCTTAGGTTAACGTTGATATTAAAAATGTTAAGTGAAGGTGAAAAGAAGAAAATGAACCACAGCCAAAACATAAGCCAATGGTGTCCTATCGAAATAGATCAGTCGTTAGAGCACTGAGGTAAAAACCTACAAGCAGCTTGATTTAAATCCTGATGGGATTCAACTTTCAATTTCACTTTCAGATATCACACATTTTTATGCATGAAATTTTGATTTGTTTTTCTTTTTTCCTTTCATTTTATTTATTCCCACTTTTTATTTTTGTTATTAGAATCGCAAATTTTAGGTAAAAAAACATTACCTGATGAACTGATATTGGTTAGAGAACCATTATTGGGAAACCAGGTGGTACTGGACAATAGTACTAACACACCCCTCTAGGTAGATAGGTAGGCCATACCAAGCAAGCGTTGGCTATCCAAACTTGACATCAAACACTTACCCTAATGGTTTTATAAAGGTGAAAAATAATACACCAACAGTTCTATCTGACAACACTTAATCGTATGTGGACACCAAGCTAACCCACAAATCAACTTCAAAGTTGTCTATAGAATATCTGAGGATCTTGCCAAAATAATACAAATTAAATTCCTTTGAACTGTAGAAGTATTGGCAATTCGCAGTTTAAATCATGGACTCTGCATACTATACTGAAGAAGTCTGTTCAGTCAATGAATCTGCAATGGACGTGATCTATCCTAACACCAAATACGTAATTTTGTATTTGTTTTATTTCTTAATTGTATTATATTATCCCCTGAACATCTATTAAATTTCCGTCCCCTGATTAAAACTCTTATTAACTTACCTGTCGTTCGATTTTAGCTGAATTCCACTCAACCCAGTCAGGACTGGACTGCGTCAACTCCTAGCTTAGTCATATAGGGAGTGAAGTGATAGAACATGTTGACCACTTCACCTATTTGGGAAGTTGTATCAGCATCAACGGATTGATTGGTGACGAAATCTCAGCACGGATCCAAAAAGCTCGAGCTGCTTTCGCTAACTTACACCGTCTGTGGCGTAGGCGTGACATCCGACTATCAACCAAGGGACGTGTATACTGCTCAGCAGTTCGCTCCGTCCTTCTCTATGGCTCTGAAGCATGGCCAATATGAGTTCAAGACATGACAAGGTTGACTGTTTTGGATCATATATGTTTACGATCTCTTTCTCACGTTAGGTCGTATAATAAGGTAAGTAATGTTGACGTTAGCCGTAGAGTGTTGGGCAAAGAGGGAAAATCAATCGAAGAGGCTATAAAGTTACATAGATTGAGATGGCTAGGTCACGTGCTGCGCATGCCTAACCATCGCCTCCCACGACGGACGGGCATTACTAGCCGATATAGGTGCATGTTGGGAAAGAGTAAGTGGTGGCCAAACAAAAACATGGCCTCATCAATCCATGAAATCCTTAGCAGTTAAACTGAGTCAGGTAGGAAGGGAAATGCAGACTTCCGGGTTGGGGCCCGGCCCGCCCTCGGGACTCTAAGAACCAATGAAGGCTGGAGACAATATTTGACATGGCTCAAAATCGTTGTCAACGGCCCAGATGTATTCAGTCTCTGTAATCTTTCATATTCCTTTCTACCATTACTCATTCTGTTTCACTCTTATGCTTGTCAAAACTCTATTGATTCTCTTCACTCATCTTCTTGTCTACCTTTGTGTGCTATTTGGAACGTGGCAACTGGAACTGCTGCACTTGGGTGCCAAGTTCTATGTTGAATCCAGACAGACAAACCAGTCAGTAATATTACATCACTCATTAAACTGAGTTAGTTGAAATTTTCATACCACTGAAATACCATATATTATATTTTGTTATTCCATCAATTTGTTGTTGTTTTTTTAGTTAAAAAAACATTTGGGATATAGTGGTCGGATGATTTATAGGAAAGGATCCGAAGAAGGAGATCAAGAATTATATAGAATAGATCACGTGAAACCAAATGAATTTCGTGAAGAATTGGTGGCTCGTATACCATTAGTTAAGCCTAAAGTGGAGAAAGAAGACGGAAAAGGAAGAGAAGAAGGGAAACATGTGTACGAAGACTTTCCAATTGACCATTAGTAAGCCTCGTTTATATATGTGTGAATATATATGTTACTGTAATTGCTTATCTATCGAACTGGTTCCTCATATGTTCAGAACTCCCTTGTGTAAAATGGTTAAGTAATTAATCATTTATGCATGCATCATTAATGCCTCTCAGTTTTCAACCAATACACATCTGGAAATGGTTTATAGAAGAGCACAAATATAAGGGATGATTTCTCATATTAGACGGTTGGAGGCAATCGGTAGGAAGCCTTGCAGAACCTAGATTTCTTGCTAATTGGCACTCACCAGTCAGCAAGACGTATCTGAAACCTTGAAGGCGATCATGTTACTTCTAAGATTTGTAACCGGCGTTACCCAGTGCTTCAGTTACAGACGTTAATCGGGCTCGCGATTGACCTCCTATGGGACACTCTGATTGGACACTAGTTAATTGCTAGTGTCTAATCATAGGAGAAATGATTTTTCATATTGGGTCATAATATGATAAATGGCAGCAATATACTGAAGTGGTCTGGAAGCAGACCTCATTTTCATGGTTGAATATTAAGTAATTTGAAGGATGTTGTTGCATCGGTGGTTCAGTGGTAGAACACTGGCCAACGAAGCAAGTGGTGTGCGGTTTCGATATCTGGCCGACTCAGCTTTTCACGCCGATTGGCTCTTTAAAGAGGGAAGGTTGATTGTCTGACTGGCAACTCAATCCTGTATAATGATACTACTGTAACAACAGAAGACAAGGGCCAGGTAACAGATCGTTTATTAAGGAAAATCAACACATATTTTTAGATTTTAATGTACATTATTGTAGATTATTGCTAGTAGAAAATACAGTCTTTTGTTTGGTTGTTTCTCACAGAAAGTTAACCTTGCATCTCTTTGTGGCTGTGTCAGATCATCCATATGCTAACTGTATCGGCCTACGCAAAGCCTTTGTTCTCATTTTCTCACCACCAATATTGGGGACATAAACATTGACGTCAATTACTATCTACCAACTTTGGCTAGCAGCCAGCTCTCACCACAATACTACTGCTACTGAAACTTCAAATCCCCAGCTTGTAGCCGCCTATCCCACTAGGGACTAAGAGGAATAAAATAATAACGAAGGATGGTGACTACCAGTGGGATCTAGCGTTCTCATAACCTCGGTCTAGCTGTAATCCTCAGTAAGCGATGGTGTCCCCACCAAGACTCGAACCCTGTACTCTTCGTCTCAAACGTCATGGTGTTATCCACTGGACGACTTCAGGCACGAGAGTCACCCTTTGTGCAACAGCCACTAATTATTATTTATTTAGAGTTAACTCTGATTTTCCCGTTAACTGGTTTGACAGAAATTTCCAGCTTCTGTTAGCGTGTCGGTTCCTACTATGGACGCTTCAACCATTCCATTATTAGCAAATTTTGTTTTGATAAAGTCACACAATGTTATACAGTAATGTTTACTGATGACCACGTTTCGAGCACAATTTATTACTGCTCATAATCACACGACTTCCTAAATCCATTTATATAGTTCCGTTGTTTTTCACTTGATTTGATTGGTAGCAGTATCTTCCATATTTCGGGTATGAGTGATGAATCATTCCTATTGCATGTGTTGGGTGTAGATCTCGATGAACAAGGATTCAGTGATCAACCTCTCTCTCCACCTACCGAGATTACTTTTTAGAATTGTAACCCTCTCCCACCATGCTATTGTGTGGTTGTGTGTTAATGCATGCATTGCAATTGCTGAGCTTTTTTCTAAATTACTTATCTTCTCGGAGTCAACCATTCTTACCTTAGCTAAATTCTTATGTTCTGACAGGCAATCTGACTACCTCTGACCTACTAATTTGACCTATGTAGTTGACCTAACCCACAGTCATTCCAGGGTATTTTGTAAATTATATCATCTACAGTTATACCATATAAAGAGGGGATATCTGAGACCCTACGTAGGATTATAAATAAATAAATAAAACTCACTCAGGGACAAGCTCTGTAGGTTAAAGGATCCAGTTGACCCAATTAGACAAAATAATATAATTTACAAAATATCCTGCAATGACTGTGACGTCAACTACATAGGTCAGATTAGTAGATCGTGGGTAGTCAGATTGTCAGAACATAAGAATTTAGCTAAGGTAAGAATGGTTGACCCGGAGAAGATAAGTAATTTAGAAAAAAGCTCAGCAATTGCAATGCATGCATTAACACACAACCACACAATAGCATGGTGGGAGAGGGTTAAAATTCTAAAAGGTAATCTCGGTAGGTGGAGAGAGAGGTTGATTACTGAATCCTTGTTCATCGAGTGGATCTACACCCAACACATGCAATAGGAATGATTCATCACTCATACCCGAAATATGGAAGATACTGCTACCAATGAAATCAAGTGAAAAACAACGGAACTATATAAATGAATTTAGGAAGTCGTGTGATTACCTTGATATGATTGATTATGAGGAGCAATAAATTGTGCTCGAAACGTGGTCATCAGTAAACATTACTGTATAACACCACTGTGAGACTTTATCAAAACAAAATTTACCCATAATTGAATTACACTCTACCACAGTGCACAAGTTTTATACCTACATCAACGCTTCAACCATGTCGGAGGATTGACCTGAAGTAATTCAGTGGATGATGTGGTGGGAATAGAATTCATTAAGTCTTCTCATTGACACTTGAGTATCAATCAGTATTATTTCGATGTGATGTGATTCCACTTCTTCGCCGTATGAAATGAAAGGTCATTCATCACCTCTTCTTATTACACTTTGTGTTTTTATTTCAGCGCTGACGAATTAGACGACATATTGTTTACATCAATTCAAATTAAGCATATACCAGGCATTAAAGTACTCCTGTTGCTACTACTGTGTACTATCATAATCTCCTTCATCAGACTGTATTAATAATCGGTGTGCCGTTCAGTGCTAACTTTCATTGAAACTAAAATTACCGCCCCCCCCCACCATTTAGAGTGTGACTGAAATTGACACTTGTTGAACGCCTTTATTTATAATTTCTGCTTAACTTTTTGTTATCATCCAACTTTTGCTTAGATTCATCATTATCACGTATCGCTCATGTAGACACCAAGATGACAATTGTGTTGTCTAAATAATCTGACATTTTTGTGTATTTGCTACTCTCCCATCATCGATATGCTTTCACTAACCATTTTGTGGTGTTGGTGTCTGGTTGTCTAACCTATTGACAACATTGTCTAACTGTATTTTATCTCACCGGATTAACATAACAGGTCCATTTTGTAGTCTTTATTCATCTTAATCAGTTGAGCAGCGTAAGGAATGCTATCAGCTGTCTGAGCGTTATCATAAGTGTGATAAAAAATACCAATGTAAAATGTAACCTACATTGTGTGTTACGCGGTCCGTGTTTTAAATTGTTTCAGAATGATTTATGTTATGTTATTCCTTGCACTTTAGATCAGCTACATTTCTATTATATTTATTGAAATACATCCCTTCTACAGATTGATGTGTTTAGTTGAAGCCAAATGTATGCACCATTTTCGCTGACATAAGCTTTGAGAGATTGGTACTAAACCAACTGATGTTCATCAATGTCCTCAATGTATAATCAATCTGTTGTCAATGAAGTTCAGTCCACATTTATTTTTTTCGCTGAAGAAAGGAAGACAAAATTTGCAGTATAAAATGATATCGTCATTCTATTTCACAGATTCTCATCAGCTGCAGACTACCTGAAATTACAATGGTCATATAAATGATAATAACATACTTTAATATTTGAGTAGTAGTAGAGAAGAGATACTATAAAAGTGACGCATCCAAAAAAGAATGAAAGCATTACAATTTTTAGTTTAAGTTATCATCATCAATTTACACGCTTATAAAGTTGAAAAGAGGAGAGATGGGTAAGACAGAAAACAGAAAAATTGATTAACGGAAACAGTGTTAACTTGTAGGTTCACATAGCAACTCCAAGAAAAAACAAAGGCGGTTACAGTTTATTAGATTAAGATTTGTTCAATGAGTTGAGATCACTGAATTAGATGACTAATTATTGTAATCAAAATCAAAATTCAGTTACCAAGGGAGTGAGAATTTGATCACACTCCCTCTCTGTATGCATAAGTCTGGTCGGTTTAAATCGTTTGATTGCGATCGCTTCGGTAAATCGTAGTAAATTTGCTGTCCTTTGTCTATTTAATATTTTGAAGGACTTAGAAATCTCTACCAGATGTCCGGTATCAACAATATGTCTGGTAATTGCACTCTGAGAATATTTGCTTCCTTTTAGGCACAGGTTTCTTGGAATATGTTCAGAAAACCGTTTAGAAGCCCTTCTGTCTGTCCTTCCAATGTACTTGCTCCCTCAAGTGCATGTGAATTCATAAACGCATTTGGAGGTGACATCAGCAGGGTATTTATCCAGTTTTGAATGGATTATAGAAGGAGTGGTGCTGTATGCTGTTATGAGTTTTGCTGCCGGGTAGCTTCTATTCATTGCTGCTTTCAGTCTTCTGTCAATCTTTTGTGACACAGCACATCCTTTGAATGGGAGACAAATAAACACTCTTTTCTTTTCTACAGTTGGATGCTTTTCTTTCTTATCTTTTTCTCTGCTGTACTTCTGAATAAATCCTTTAGGGTATCCGCTTTCCCTCAGGCACTTCTCGACGAAATCTAATTCTTCTTCGACCTTGTTTGGTGAACATAGCTTCCTGGCTCTGTCGTACAAAGTCCTCACTAATCCACGTTTGTAGCTTATGGGACAAAAGCTGTTATAGTGAAGATATTGTCCAGTCCAGGTTTCTTTTCTATAGATGGACTTTTTGATCGTGCCTTCGTTTGTTCTTTTTACATTTAGATCCAGGAAATTGAACTCATTTTTATGTTCATATTCCATGGTGAATTTGATATTTGGATGGATCTCATTTAGGCGATCATATAATGCCGATGCGTGATCCATGTCGTGGCAAACAACAAATGTGTCATCAACATATCGGCGATAGTAGTTTGTTCCATCGATAGCAGAGTTGAGTTGTGTCTGTTCAAGGAAGCCCATGAAGATATCAGCCAGAATAGGTCCCAGAGGCGAACCCATCGCGACCACATCAATTTGTTGGTAAAGTTGATTGTTGAATTTGAATTCTATATCTTTGTTCAGTCCACATTTATTTTTTTTTATTTGATCCCAAATGCCAATTAGAAATTTTAAAAGACTGGACAAAGAATATTCCTTTCGATAATTTCTTCTTCATCAGATTCTCCATTTATATATCATAATAATGAAAGAATTAGGGTTATCAACGACAAAAAATGTTTAAATAACACTGAATCAGTTGGTCACAGTTCAATAGCATGTGTAAGTAAAAACAGTTTTTGTTCAGCGAAGAAATTCTGTTTCTTTTCAACGACTTCATTTTCAAGCTGTACAGTAGTATTTATATTACAGAAAAGGTTATTAAGTGGCACTAAATAATTGCTCAGTCAATATACATATATAAGTGATAAGAATAACGATAATTAAAATGTTATGAGGGGTAGAGTTGAAGTGGATAAATTACAAAATTATTAAAGATTGTTTTTTAAGTGAATTGAAATCAAAAATGTTTTTAAAATGTCAAGTGTTGTCTAAAAATTTTAAAAAATTCGGAGTACGATTACGATAAGAAAGAAAATGTGAAGTGAAGTGGAAAGAATTCAAGTGGTAATATAAAATAAAGCAAAAACTAGAAAGAACATTACTATGACCAAGGTAAAGAAAGGGGTTTGACAAAACGTTTTTGAACACATAATTTAGGTTTCTGTTCATGTATAGCTAAAGCTTTGGCTATGCATAAGTGAAGAAAACGTAAACTTTTGGATCGATTCGATTTTGCCATGTAGATAACTTTGAAAGATGAATCACGTGGGGCTAAATGACCTGACTCTAACAGGTGATCACAGATAGGCGACTTCGCAGTTCTACGTTCGCCTTTCATTAACCAGACTGGATAGTGTTCAACTACACGTTATTCTTATCACATATATGTATATTGACTGAGCAATTATTTAGTGCCACTTAATAACCTTTTCTGTAATATAAATACGACTGTACAGCTTGAAAATGAAGTCGTTGAAAAGAAACAGAATTTCTTCGCTGAACAAAAACTGTCTTTTTACTTATGAATAAATGGGTATTTTTCGTGATTTCAAAGCATCTGTAAGCATGATAATATGCATCCATACAACACTACACAGAATTTTAGACAAATTAGGGAGGATAATAATAGAGAATTAATGAATTTATAGGCTCCAGAGAAGGCCAGGATAGTAGTAGTAGTAGTAGTGGCTAGACCTTTTTCTTTGGCATACAGAGCACCGGGTCTTGTTTTAGGCGAGTAGTAATAGCCTCTGCTGTTTGGAGTATTCGGTACCTGGATGCCTGAAAATGTTTTTTTGGTTCCTGATAGATGATGGAGAACGATTATTCAATGCTAGTTGGCTTTATGGCCATTTTGGGTAGACGGGTCTAATATTGAGCTGTTCATAGTTTTCACTACACCCTTATTTGGCCACACTGGTAGGTGTTCTCGAGTAGGCACGAAAAAATCAAGTTCCTAAAGCAATGGCCAATTCAACTCGCTCCACAAGCGCAGTTCAATTGGTAGATTCAACTAGAGGTGGCTAGTTTAGTCCAGGTACCACCTCATCTTCCAATTGAAGAATCTCAATCGGTCGTGTAGAAATATGACTTGCAGTTTTACCAGTATTACAAGTCCTCTGAGCAGATTTTCTTAATTTGTAAGTAATTATTTCACTCGGTACGTCACCCTTGAATTGCAGTCGTGTGTATAAAGGCTTATTTACACATGGAAAATAGCCATTTTCTAATTTCTTGGTCATATATTTCTTGATGAACTTTTCTGGATAGCTTTTTTCAATTAAGGTGTCATATACAATCCTAAGTTCATCTTCAATTACGTCTTCTGAGCATACAGAGTTGACCCTATAGCTGAGGGTCCTTATCAGATTCCTTTTGTACTGGAAAGGAACAAACATGTGAAAATGGGTATAATTACCTTGTCCATGTGCTTTTCTTATGCAAATTTCTCTTAATACTACCATCTGGTTTTCTTCCAAAAGGGACATCTAGGAAGGTAATTCTATTTTGGAATTCCTCTTCACACGTAAATTTGATAGCGGAATGTACTTCACTGAATTGAGTTATTATTGTGTCCTTATCCGAATCATTATCACAAAAAATGAAGGTATCATTCACATATCGGTAATGAGATTTTTTTGATAAGGTTTTTCAAAAGACCATCTTCTAGTTTACTCAGAAAGAAATCTTTTATAGCGTGGAGCCCAATGGGGAATGCACTCCCGCCTCCACTGTTCTGTGAAGTAGGCCGCCAAATTTAATATTTACACTCATAGTTTTCACTTTGATAACAATTCTTTCAGGATGCCTATTGGGATGCCAGTATTTATAGATTTGTTGTACACTTGTTCACATATATATGGTTAATCTTTTCTACTAGAGGTACATTTATGAATAAGGATATTATATCCGAAGGTATCACAGTTTCCCCCTTGATATTAGTGTTGTTATTAACTCTAATTCTCTCACTATTATTGGTATATATAACTGCAAAACCTGATGAAGAATTTATCGAAAAGAATTTTCTTTATCCACTAATCAGTCTTTTTTGAAATTTTGTTTTTGTCAGAGACCAGTTCTGCAGGAAAGGTTTCCTATATATACATCAGACAAAGCTACGAGATGCACTTCTTTTGGGATTATGGATGAAAGTAACTGGTCGCCCAGGCTGATATAAGTGATGCTGCTGCAATTAGTTCTGCTGTCCGGGTATCCAGTAATCCCAGGCCTAACCGATGTCAGCTCATGATGACATCATGTAACCATTAGACAGTTA